AACTATGTTAAGTAATGTGTCCAATGTAAAATGAAGTAATAATTATAATTAGTGTGATCAAGGTAAAGTGAAGTAATAATTATAATTAGTGTGATCAAGGTAAAGTGAAGTAATAATTATAATTAGTGTGTGCAACGTAAAGTGAAGTAATAATTATGTTAAATAATGTGTACAATGTAAAGTGAAGTAATAATTATGTTAAATAATGTGTACAACGTAAAGTGAAGTAATAATTATAATTAGTGTATACAACGTAAAGTGAAGTAATAATTATGTTAAATAATGTGTACAACGTAAAGTGAAGTAATAATTATAATTAGTGTATACAACGTAAAGTGAAGTAATAATTATGTTAAATAATGTGTACAACGTAAAATGAAGTAATAATTACATTAAATAATGTGTACAATGTAAAGTGAAGTAATAATTATGTTAAATAATGTGTACAATGTAAAGTGAAGTAATAATTATGTTAAATAATGTATACAACGTAAAGTGAAGTAATAATTATGTTAAATAATGTGTACAATGTAAAGTGAAGTAATAATTATGTTAAATAATGTATACAACGTAAAGCGAAGTAATAATTATAATTAGTGTGATCAAGGTAAAGCGAAGTAATAATTACATTAAATAATGTGTACAATGTAAAGTGAAGTAGTAATTACCATAAGTAGTGTGTCCTCCATAGTAAAGTGAAGTAGTAATTACCATAAGTAATGTGTCCTCCATAGTAAAGTGAAGTAGTAATTACCATAAGTAATGTGTCCTCCGTAGTAAAGTAAAGTAGTAATTACCATAAGTAATGTGTCCTCCGTAGTAAAGTGAAGTAGTAATTACCATAAGTAGTGTGTCCTCCGTAGTAAAGTAAAGTAGTAATTACCATAAGTAGTGTGTCCTCCATAGTAAAGTGAAGTAGTAATTACCATAAGTAATGTGTCCTCCATAGTAAAGTGAACTAGTAATTACCATAAGTAGTGTGTCCACAGTAAAGTGAAGTAGTAATTACCATAAATAATGTGTCCTCCGTAGTAAAGTGAAGTAGTAATTACCATTAGTAGTGTGTCCTCCGTAGTAAAGTGAAGTAGTAATTACCATAAGTAGTGTGTCCTCCGTAGTAAAGTGAAGTAGTAATTACCATTAGTAGTGTGTCCTCCGTAGTAAAGTGAAGTAGTAATTACCATAAGTAATGTGTCCTCCATAGTAAAGTAAAGTAGTAATTACCATAAGTAATGTGTCCTCCGTAGTAAAGTGAAGTATTAATTACCATAAGTAATGTGTCCTCCGTAGTAAAGTGAAGTATTAATTACCATAAGTAATGTGTCCTCCGTAGTAAAGTGAAGTATTAATTACCATAAGTAATGTGTCCTCCGTAGTAAAGTGAAGTAGTAATTACAGTAAAAAAGATTAACACAACAAATCAGTATATGTTGTATAAAGTTTAAAACATTTGAGGAATGTTTTTAGTTAAAAGGTATAAGACTGCTATTATGACAGAGAAATTACTGTACACATTGAAAATTCTATGATATTGTTAAACTGTATGGAAGTCAGAGTTACTTCATTCATCTTGATTTTTAAGTATCAAGTGTCTCTTTATATAATACTACAGAATTCACCTACTGCCAGATCATAAAGTATTGTTGATAATGTTCT